CTGAAGACAACATTTTTGATCGCGCCCAAAACAGAGCTCCGCCTGCGCTTTTGGCGGCAAAAATAGAGCTCTGAAGCATTGGTCAGTACAGGTCTTGACACGATACGGTGACGTGGTCTAGTAGTGGGCGGAGCTTATTGTCCGAGTTTTTTGCACATATAGCTGCATTTCGCACTTTCCTCTCTCTGCCCTTTCATTAGAAGTTTTCGATCTTTTTTTCGCCCCACCCCCTCCCCCCTCCAATCGTCTCTCCGTGCTCATTGCTTCACGCTATGTAGTGTGTTAAACAGATCGTAAACAGCATTGTTGTCAAATGATTTTTTGATCTATTTGTTTTGCGTTGTAAACAGCGTAACGTAAGTTGTTACACTATGCTTTTTCTACAATTTTTTTCTTTTTTTTTCAAACCAAAGGGCGGGTCAAGCGCACGGAGTAAGTACTTGTACACTCAACAAATGTTACATAGTGCAGGACAATTGGCTTTCGGTTGTTGAGATAACCTACTCTACACATCAAGTCGAGTTTTACTCTTATAACATCTTATTTTCGTCTTTACATTTGTTCGTTTTAGTGTATTGAGTCTCAATCCGTAAATGCAGATTTTTCAGCGGCAGTCATTATCGCCTATGAGGCGTTTGCGATCCTACAGTATACCGTAGCTCCCCTTGGGATCCTTTTTCTCACACTTCGCTCAATCTTTCGGGGAGTTCGATTATAAAATACAAGAAGAGAGGTATCCCCAGATTTGAATCCGAGAAATTGGCAATTATAATCGCTTTTGAGCCAATGTTACCGTATACCGAAGCTCCCTGGTTCAAGTGGGCGGAGTCAAAACTTTCCCGGAATTTGATAAGCATATTGGAAGAAATAAGTCTTGTTAAGGGAGGGAATATCCCTGAACAGTGTATTTTTATAAATCAGTCAGCTGATCCTTATCGATTACTGATCGAATCATGTCGGATCCCAGATGAAGCCCCGATAACACCTGTTGCTTTCACCCCACACCCTCTCATTCCTCCCATTAACACTTTCGTATATTAGCCGAGGCTGCTATCACCTTTGATAGTTCTACATTTTTTTGAACTTAGGAGGGGGGGGGGGGAGAGGGGAAACCCGACTACAAGCTGCCATCATGTCCATCATCCTTGTTATAGACTTTTTACATGTGCTGCACTTCACGAAGTTTCTTGACAGTTCTGAACTTTTGAAATGTTGTACTACATGTGTAGGGGCTAGACAATTTCTAGAAGTCAAAATCATATGTTCGTACTTTACAACCTGATCTTTCATTCTATAGTGAAATTTTCTAGGTTTCGTGTAGTGTTTGCATTGCTTCATCAGCCCTGGTGGTTCTTGATGCTTAGCTCTGGAATCTCACTTCAATGTTTTGAGAGGTTTTATTGATTAATTTACGCTTTGAACTTAGTTTTTATTTTTAAGTTATTTTTTCCACTCGAATTATTTTATATAAACTGCCACTGCATGAAGTAAACCAAAATTTCACTTTATAAAGAGAAAGGTACTTTTTCGTAACCGTAAAAAATTGAGATGTCATCTACATTTTTAACAGGTTTTATCAAGTTTTTATGTTACCTCTCTTTCAAAATATCTGGCGAAACAGCCAGCAGCAGGGTACTTTACGCCACCATTTGCATATTAGCTAAAGGCTACCATGGGCGAAGGCGAAGGCGCAGAGGCAATATAGTTGAGCGGGCGCGAACGCGGCGCGCGCGTATTCTCACCGTTGTAAATACTGCGCCTCATGCGCTCTACGGCTAGTATAACCGCGTTCGCGCCCAAGATATCACGCCTTCGTCATGCCGCAACGTATAAATTTGTATGACTGAAAAAAATTCAAGGGGAAAGTTTTTTTTACCATTTTTGATATGTAGCAATAAAGATGTTCCAGTAATCATTTTGATATATTTTGCTTTTCCGAAATACAGTTGAACACCTTCCAGGTCATCTCAAATGCTTATGTACTTCATCAGAAATGAATTTGGAAGAAATCTTGTCAAACTGAGTAAAAAGCAAATCAGTTTTTTCCCTGATGTAGCAGAAAGATATTGCTCAAATGAGAGCTCTAATGGTTTAGTCGGGGCTAAAAAATTTAACGCTAAACCCCCGCCCATATCGTCCCTTTTGATCGATCAGCGTTTATGAGTACGGTACTGGGCCTGGGTTTAGATGAAAACACTTCTGTGTGGAATGAGTCATATGAACAGCTTTTGAGTCATCTCAACTGCTTATGTACTTCATCGGAAATGAATTCCAAAAAACATGTCAAGCTGAGTCAAATCTTGTCAGTTTTTTCCTGACCCGTGCCAGGTAGATAGTGCTCGAAAATTCTATGAGAAATTTTGTCTAGACTGATATACGTATTTCTTAAACACTCCTCAAAAAATGGGTCCATAACACAAAATACCGCGAAATATTTCATTCTGCCGAAATTTTTTCTGTTTCAACAAAAACTCTTATTCTCCTTTGCTTAGCCTCCACGATCCTCAGCTGCAACCAGCCGTAATTAAGATACAGTATTTCGCCGTAACTGACCACTTGTACCAAGGCGCTCATAACAAGCTAATGTTTTAACAGGTGAGAGGGAAGTTTTTTTTATCCTTACCACTTTTTTGTCATGATGCTTATTGTATATGGGTTCAGACTCCAAAAATTCTTGTCATCTTGTCAAATATTCGTCTTCGAAAAAAATATAGAAATAATTTTCAAATACTCAAGATTCCAATAAAATATTTTACGATGCTCTTGGTCGCGAACAAAAGACGATTAATGCTTGCTTGACTGTGCAAAGATTTCGTCATACGTGCTATAATATGACCTGCAAATTTTTCTTGATATTATAGAACTTTTTCGCGTTTCCTTATTTGTTCTAATTCGAAAGCATTTTTCTTACCTGTAAAACTCTTTTTCGTGTTCGGTTATAGTCATTGGCTAATCATCTCCGCAAAAGTCGAACTCCTTCTATCGTGCGGCATTGATGCGTTTTGGTCGAGGAGAGACAACATGAATAAAAGATACGCAGACACTGCAATATCACCGCAGTAACAGCCGCAACTTGCTCATTTCCTGCGTCCATAATACTTCTACAGTTTCTTTTATGAGTAGGTTGATTTGTCATCTATGCTACTTTATCACATTTTCGTAAGTACCGAATTGAGGAAGCACCCGTATCAGATCTTCATGCATTTTCACTGAACAGAAGACTATAACACTTAGATTTATTGTTGCACGTGGTGAAATTGCACATTTTGCTTACTGCCACTTTGTAACTATAAGAACAGTTGTTTTGGTTTTTTTGTGGGAGATGTTTAGGTGAGATAAAATAACACATGCACATGCTTCAGGTCAATGTAATGTGATATCTGCAGTAATGAGATAGGTTTAGGTGCTAATTTCTTGATTTTTGTTCTCAAACGCCCTTCTACTGAAGTTTAATGTTCGTCTTTCGGATGATTAGCCGTTCAAAGGCAGAGTCCAGAAAAATTTAGCCACCTTAATTTCTTGAATGGAGACTATTTGATTGGCTCTAGCTAAGCAGTTGCTCAAATGACAGCTCAAATGGTTCAGTCGTGGCCAAGAAATTTTACGTGCAACTCTTGCCCATACCATCCTTTGCGATCGATCAGCATTTCCGAATACGGTACTGGGCCTGGGTTTAGCTAAGAATATCTTTGTCAGGAATAGGTCATATGAGCTGGCGATTTCACAGTGATGGCTTAGTTAAGCGCCTCTATCAGTTCCACGTCAAAAGAGCTCGGACCTTGGTTTGCCTAAATTGCCTTCAAATTGGCCTATAACTCCCCATGTTCACGATTAACGCCTAAATTATGTATTTTGCCCCATTATGGATCGTTTTTCCCATTGTTCGACTGATTTTGTCTTGAAACGGCTCTTCTTCTTACTCGATCGTCGTTGTACTCAAATTCAATCACGAGCTTGAAATGCTAGCGAGGCTAAGTGTTGACGTAGCCATTGCAAGTGGCAGATGTCTTTTATTTATTCAGACTGCTTTGTCTCATATGGAGTGTAAGTTTAAAGGTCGCATAAAAATGTGCAGTAAAGGATGAGTTAGAATATAGAGAATGTGATAAGTGCTTTGCACATATGTTCACAAGGTGTCCGACACCTGCTGCACCTTCTAAATTTCTTTAGTTATCTTCCGGGTTCTTACATAAACTTTACGTTGTGCTCTTCCTTTTTCTTTTGAATTCACAGAAATCAGTTGAATAGGAAATTTAAAAAATCGACCATAAGCATGCCGCAATTGAGCAAGCCCCACCCACTGTGATGCTATTGACCCCATTTGTTCCCCCAGTCAACACATTCTTCGTTTTATGTGCGTGAAGCTGAATGCAAACACACTTTTTTATTTTATTTTATGACCAGCCGCTGTTGAAGAGCTCCGCCCCTACAATTCAATGCGATATTCACTATTTGCTTAGCCATGTTCGAAGCCGCACAAGTCTTGAATTTCTATGAAAACTTACGAAGACTTAGATTGGTGCAACCGCGCCGCACTTTTGGAATAGTACGCCCACTTCCTATAGGGCGGTGCTCTCTCCCATTTGCGGCACGGTTGTGCTGTTCTGTAAATTATCCTCTTAAAGCCATTCTGTGTGTTCTACTTGTCTATTACATTGTGGATCACAATTACTCTCTATTTTTCATTTATTCATCTTATTTTATATGCAGTTTTCTATTTGCACTTCTTCGTCTCTTATAGTACTTCGCTGTTTTACTGGTTTTCTATGAAAATTCTACCGTTGGAGCACAGCAACCGTGCCGCATTTGTGAAAGAGCACCGTCCACTTCCCGGTAGGGCGGTGCTTTCTCGCAAGTGCGGCGCGGTTGTGCTGCTTTGGAACTATCTCGTTTTTGAATTCCTCTCTGACTCAAAATTTATTTTTGCGTCTGCGCTTTCGTCAATTTTTGTGTTATTTCGCGGTTACCTCGCCCCCAGCCATCAATTAACCTATTTCAGGATGAATTTAACCGATTGGTCAGTGAAAGCTTATGTGGAAACGCCAGCAACCACGATGACCACAACCTCTGCGTCACTATCATCGCCAACATCGTCTTCAGCAACGATGTCTTCACCGTCCTTAGCCTCTAGTGTATTTTCTACGGTTGCGACGGAGATGCTCAGTACGATGGCATCGGCAATGATGACGTCTTCAACGGCAACTTCTACCGTCGACGACAACGATATTCGAGTGATTATGCTGAATAATTCGGCACAATCTGGAGTTTCAATAGAGAAGTGAGTTCATATTATATGTACGTATTGATAGCGTATCAACGATTCAAATGAGTATAAGGTCACAAGGTGAATAAGCATTTGTCCAGCATTAGTCCGTATAATTCATTTGCGGCAGGAAGATCCAAAACTGATTTCTCGGCCATACCGTACACCCAACGTCTTCGAGTACGTTAGGTCGTACGTCTGGGCGAGAGTTTACGCTGAATTTCTTGGCAACTGATGAGTCGATATGAGCCGCAACTTAATCAAACTTGGTTAAAACTTCCTAATTAATCTCCACGTAGAAAAACCAGTTATTTAAATCCGCCTGACCCCGCCTGCAACAAAAAAAGCTCACCGCGTTGATGCTCACGAACTTTTATCTTTGTGCGATTTCCAAGAGCTTCTAGACGATGCATTGTTCTTTTGATCCTCTAATAGCGCTTTCAGCCGCAACTACAGACTAAATTTATGATAGCGATGAGGGCTCATTGAAAGGCTTCCGGGCGTTAAGAATAAATTACCGAGCCTGAGATGTGCTATGCATTATGCGTCATGCATAGGTTGCTTTCTGATGTGACGCACGAGATTAGAGGCGAAATCACATTTGTCTGCGAATTTGCAGAAAATCACGAGTTGATTGAGTGTCGCAGTAAGTGAGGAAAACTACTGCACATTGATTTATAGTAGTACTAATACTGAATCCCTGGGCATTTAGCTAAAGTTCGAAATCAGTCACTTGTAATGTCCGAAATGCAAAGGGCGTTAATGAAAGTAAATATATGAGTAAAAAAATAAACTTTTTACTTCTTTTATAAACAGCTTACATAATATACCACCTCATGCTGCAACTTTCTCCCTCTTCCCCGGACATGTCATTCATCATTTGCTTTCTCATTGCTGCTCTGTAGCTCTTTGCAAACAAATTTCGGTGGTTTATTGATTTTTTGGGCAGAAATCAGAACTTGAAAGATCAAGCCAAAAATTTAGTAAAGGAGGTTTGGAAGGGGGAGGAGTTAAGTGAAAGGACTTCCAAGCAATCACTGTCCAAATGCGCTAGTTGTTTATAATCACAATGCCACATTTACACTCAAACAAAACTCAGAAAATCGATATATAGATATTTCGCGGGCTACAGAAAGGACGATTTTCCGCAATACAAGTCAGAACCAAGATTCTGAACAAACCACTGAGAAGAAAATACCAAGCATTGACAACCAAAATGCTAAAATGATCTGAAATATATAAAGACCCTTTTGCACCCTATACCGTATGCTACCATAGTCTCTCTTGATGCCTCTATGAAAAAGAGATGCTGCCGGGGCTATGCGTGAATTGCTGTAATCTTTCCACGTAACTTCGCATCACTTCCAAAAAAGTCTCACACTATTATACCTTGCGAATTACGGTAGCATACTGTAGCGTGCCAAAGAGCCGTGCTCGTGGATATCTTGTACTACTGTATAAATTCCAGTCTCACCGTGGAAGAGACGTGTCGATTTCGTAACACTAACGAAAACTACGTGATCGTCTTTACTTTTATTACGATATTCCTACTATCAGTCATTGGTAACGTACTTGTCATAGTGGTCATCTTACAGGTTAGTTGCTCAATATATCGATTGCTTTGTTACTTCCTAGCCAGCAACATTGATTGTTTTAGCAACGGGCTATGCGTTCAATAACAAACATCTACCTCATGAACCTTGCCATCACTGACTTGATGTTATCAGTGGTATGTATGCCACCAACATTGTGTAAGTCATTTATTGATTTATTGATTTAAAATGGGGTAGTAAAGTACGCAAATATGACTTTTCCAACAAATATGGTAAAACTTCTTTTGCTTCTACTTAACTTCAAGTAGCTTACCAACAATGAACTTTTGCTACAGTATCCCTACCGTAACTTTCAGCAACATACTAAATAAAGTAGCAGGTCATGATAAATTTCTTCTGGAATTGATGAAAGGAAATGCCATATGATGCACTCCCATGATGTTGATTTTGTCCGTAAAACCCGCGAGGTAACGGTAGGTATACGGTACCTACATAGAACTGAAGCTTTCTTTTCGCGAAATGATGACTCGCTTGTTCATAGAACTACTGTGATTACGCAACTTTTTAGTTTCCATGGTTATGAACTGTTGGATTTTTGGCAATCTTCTATGCAAAGTGTTTGCTTACTTGCAACGTAAGTTTTATTGATTGTTTTCGTCCCACTGGTACCGTAGTTTAATTTAAAAAATTACTTTTTAGCTATGGTTGTAACAGCATCTGCCTATACTTTGGCTGTGATCGCCTTTGAAAGGTATTACGCCATTTGTCGCCCCCTACATTCTCGTATATGGCAAACACGGTAGGCGAAATTGTCCAGGGTATACGGTAACTACAGTACCACATTTTGTTTGTAGATCACACGCGTACGCGATGATCATGCTTGTATGGGTTATTGCATTGGTCGCAAATGTGCATATGCTTGCTATGTACGAAGAACTTCCTTATAATGGGAATGGTCTAATGTGTGCACCACGTTTCGCTTATATCTACTACTTTGTCAATCAGGTAATAAAGATCCAATTATCGATCGATTTTGGTAAAAAACGCATTTTTTTATTGTCGCTCTGGTCCATTCGCTACCAATCTTGCTCCAAACTCTCGCCCATACCGTACTCTTCTGGAGCGGACCAGTCAATCTGGGTACGGTAGAGGTACGGTGTGGGCGAAAGTTTGAAGCTGTTATTATCTTCTTTTTTAATTATTCTTAGTTATTTTCATTGATAGAAATATTTATTAATTTATTGATTTGCAGGTGTACATATTTATTGTATTGCTTGTTATCCCACTGGTGATTATGACGGTCCTGTACGGATCAGTGATTCGCACACTAAAACTTGGTATTCAAGTCGAAATTGCTGCCGTTGACTCTGTAGATCAGGAGAGCAAACGTTCTGGTATGTATTGAATTTTGACGATTTTATGGGCATGAAATGTGTATTTGCAGAAAGTCCCGATGAAAATGACAATCAGCAAAAGGAAAAGCTGACATTCTTTCAAAAACTTACGAGAAAGTTACGAATTGGGAAAAAGAGTGGTGTGGTGAAGACAAGGTAAAATCTATCAGTTAATCAAACTCTTTTTGAGTTTGGACGCTTTGCACAGCGGCATTATCCGCATTATTCCTATCGGGACCAGTTCACGTCCTGAACTTCAGGGATTCCACTGCGCGAAAGCGAAGCGATGTGCCACCACTAGAAGGTAGCCTTCGATCTACACACATACAGAAAAGCGCTCTAGCGAAACAGCGGGTAATCAAGTAAGCGACTTTGGAATTTCCATGACATTCGATCGATAATCGATTTTTTAATTACTAGTTTCTTGATATTTAGGATGCTTATCGTTGTTGTCATTATTTTCTTCTGTTGTTGGACTCCGTCTTATATTTGGTGGTTGATATTGACAGCCGGTGATAGTTTTGAGGTGAGGACTGATTCACAGGCTTCATGGTGGTAACAATCGATATATTGCTTGATTTGATTGGTAAATCAATATATCGATTATGCTTATGAGTCTTGTTGAGAGATGCTGTTCAGTGAGATGTGCAGTTCGTGCAGCATGTTTCAATTATTGATTTCAAAAGCAGTAGTAGTATCGATTTTATTGATTGATTTCATTTTTTCAGAGTCTCGGATTGAACGTATGGAATTCGGATCTGAACACATTTATAACACTTCTAACATATATTTCTTCATGTACTAACCCTATAACTTATTGTTTTCTTAACAAAAAATTTCGTACAGCGATCTATGCGATGTTTGGCAAAAAGAAGGTACTACGACATCATTTTCAGAAGGTAAGCTTTCAATCAATAAAATCAATAATATTACAGTGCAAAGAAGTTGTTTGCCTTTTGTAGCGTTGGCCTACCATTTGAAGCAATATGTATAGCAAATGTAAAATAATTAGCTTAGGTTAGTGTGGAGGTAAAAGAGTGTTTGTAAAATAGATGAGACGCAAATTAGAATGCTTCATAGGCTTCTGATAAACTGTAGGCTTCTGATAAACTGTAGTGTACTGTATGGCGCAGAAGACCCAATAGGGGTTGCGATAATTGGTACCAGTTAGAGACGCGGAACATTTTCCTTCATTTCTCTGCGCTCTCCTTTAGCGAGTACTCTCTCTTGCTACTCTAGTAGAACGTGTGCGTGATTGAGTTGGTTAGCGTATGATTGCCCCGTTGTTAGATGTATAATGATTAATCAATCCGTTCTAGCTCATCGCATGTGTTTTCTGTGTTTTTAGGTATATTTTCTCGTTAACGCTCCTCAAACACCACAGTTGCCACACGATAATAGACCCATGATCAACAGGTAAACAATAACACGTGTTATCGATTGATTTTTCTCTAACTCGAGCTTTGACAAATATTGAGCTCTCCTACAGCTATGAACTGGATACATTACACACATATGCATGTGATATCGATCAATAATCACCCAATCGATTCTGCCTTCTTCTCTTATTGAGCTAATCGATTCTTTTCTTTATGTTAAGCTGTGTCTCCAAGGGACTTATGTACACAGAAGAAAATACCGTAAGTATGGAAATGAACGCACGGGCCTGGTTTCAAGAGAATTTTGGGTGCTATTCCATAATTGGTTGATCAAAAAAATCGTTATCGTATGTTGCTAAGCCACGTCGAGAGAAGGGGCAGGGGATACTGTAGCCGCGGATACCGTAATCACGTCGCGTAGCTGGCGCCATTCGATGGATTACGGTAATTGTATCGTAAACTTATTTGGAAACGATTATGCATTATGTTGTCATTAAAATCACTATTGGAAACTATCAGACTACCTTAGCCCCGTAAAGGTCCATTTGATAATACTGTTGTAATTAGTAGTTCCGCTGCAAAGCAATCCAGAATGTGATTAATTTTAGCCCAACCTACCGTATACGTACCGTAATCCTATCAATAACGCGACGCTCCGCGACGCGAAAACAGTGATCGCAATCAGCGTTAGTCAACGGAATCCAATTTTTGAGCACCGAAAGTGGAACAGCACCAATTTTTGCGTCAGCGGTCTTATGTCATGAACTTACACCATTTCCAATGTCATGCTTTCACAATGTATAATTGATCGATCGATAATTGGTTGATTCTTGACCATGTTATCGCTTGCTTCCGTCGCTTTCGCTATCTGTGTTGTGTTGCATCACTATTTCAGCTCTTCACTCCAATAGCGGTTTCCATAATGAATGAACTGAATGCCTACAAAAATCAGTTTTATTTGATGATTGATTGATCATATACTCTCTAGGTCAGTCTCGTCGACCTTCAATCCTCCACGTCCGGTCGATTCTAGCGCTAGATCGCCGCTCACATTGGCGCGGAGTATCTCGCAAACCAAGCCAGTAAGCGTTATCGATTTTATTGATTTCCCAGCACGTAGCTACTTGTTTCAGAGCAACTATCGTGTGGCGTGATATCGATTTTGGTCATAGATCAAAGCAATGAATCGATATTCGGGGCTGATGCCAGCTCATTAGCACGTGTGATTCTCAGAATTTCCGCTTTATTATTGGGTCGCTAAATTACGATGTTCACCATGCTGAGAATATACACAATAGGTGAACTACTTCATGTAATCAAATTAATTGATTGATGAGTGATTTGCTGCCAAATTTCCTCCCAAAGAGCTTCGTACGGGTTTATGTTGCCATAATATTCTGCATTGTTTTGAACAATAAAACTTCCGTAAAATTGTGAAGTGATTTGATGTGATAAACGAGACTTTGCAAAATATGTACGGTCAAATAGTTACAGAGATTTTATGATTCAAAAGAGTATCAGTATTTATATTTTAGAAGATGCCATTAAGGCTAAATAACATTTGCTCAACATACAGTGCTGGCCATAGCTATAAAGCCACCCTAAACATCACTGCAATTTGCTCTCTCTTGCCCAAAATTGTCTAGAAAACCACTATTCTGTGTGCAAACTAACGTCATATCATTGACCAGAACGGCTCCCGATTTCATTGATTTTGGCCGGAGAAAAATTAAAAAATTTGAAAAAAGGGGTTCTCGAGGCTGGTCACAGCTATAAAGCCACCTCTCATTTCCAATTAGTACTACGTTTTTTGAGGCTGAAATTTCTTGTACATATACAATATCAAAATATAAAGCATTTACCACACTTGGAAGCAGTCGCCTATTAAAAAAGAAGATTCATCGTGCATTTTCTGCTTCAAAATGTATAAAAAGTTATAATGTTTGGAAAAATTGCCTTTTCACCGAGTTTTCAAGCATTTGTTTGACTCGAATGAAGGTCCTAGGCTTCGCCGAGCCTTTGCAATGAATATGGTGAAGAGCGCAGTAGTCAACATGGCGTAGTCGCTGATATTGATAAACGAGCCCTAACCTCACCTCCAGGTGGACGAGTTTTCGAACCGCAGAAATTGAGTTCCAATGCCCGAAAAGCTCTGTCACGTGCCCACCACGTCGCCTGTACAACGATAAACTCGTGCGCACAGCTTGAACGTCATCGCAACTCTCAGGATTTTGGTTTCGCCTTAAACGCTTTTTTTCCGAAAATGAGTGGTGCACTCTGCCTAATCGTGACGCACTCTGACCTCTCAATCGAGCGGAAAACCGCTCAAAACTCCAAAATTCTAGTATTCCTGACAGTTTTGTAAGTTTATGACTTGAAGAGGAGTTCAGAGCAGTGAGATTTGAAGTCATGTGAAATACACTGCGCACCACCGAACTGCAGGCAAAGCGTTCTAAGTTCAATGCTGCAATTACGTCTTTGTAAAAAGTCTGACAGCTTCTGCATGAGTAGGCCACCATGCAAACAAGGTGTCAACTTCCAACCGAAAATTTTCGCGCGTAAGAAATCGAGATTCGCGTCCCAGAAGTGCGTTTACACCTAGGTAGGATTGAGCTTCGTTTATCAATACCAGCGACTACGCCATGTTGACTCCTGCGCTTTTCACCATACTCATTGCAAAGGCTCGGCGAAGCCTAGGACCTTCATTCGAGTCAAACAAATGCTTGAAAATTCGGTGAAAAGGCAATTTTTCCAAACATTATAACTTTTTATACATTTTGAAGCAGAAAATGCACGATGAATCTTCTTTTTGAATAGGCGACTGCTTCCAAGTGTGGTAAATGCTTTATATTTTGATATTGTATATATATATATATATATATATATATACAAGAAATTTCAGCCTCAAAAAACGTAGTACTGATTGGAAATAAGAGGTGGCTTTATAGCTGTGACCAGCCTCGAGAACCCCTTTTTTCAAATTTTTCAATTTTTCTCCGGCCAAAATTAATGAAATCGGGAGCCGTTCTGGTCAATGATATGTCGTTAGTTTGCACACAGAATAGTGGTTTTTTAGACAATTTCGAACAAGAGAGAGCAAATCACAGTGATTTTTAGAGTGGCTTTATAGCTATGGCCAGCACTGTATGCCTTTTTGCCGCGCCTATCTTTGGTATCATAAAATTCTTGAATATTGTAGTTCTTGTCACTGCTCGGCATGAGCTGGAAGCACGGAGACCCCCTTTGGTTTCCAAAAAATTCATGAATTCCCGCTTGACATTTTCAAAGCCTCCTCACTCCTCTCTACTTTTTTTTGTACTTAGACCGGCTCATCCCGGGATAAAGAGCAAAAGAACGAAAACAGAAACCCGGGAAGAACTCTATCCCGATTTCCTCTCCACTCACCTTCCCTCCGTTTCCTTATCTCTCCAGCCCCCCCCCCCCCCCCCTCCCACTTCTCCGATTACGACTAACCAGCATAGCAACAAAAAAGAGAAAGATGAAAACAACAATAAGCATAAACGGCATAGCAAAAGGCACACGCCATAGTTGATCCACTTTAATCCGCTTATTTTCCTTGATCCAAGTCGTGTAAAATGCTCCATAGTATAATAGTAGGTCATTTGGTCTACATAGAGCGATGCACAACATCACAAATTTTTTTTCACTAGTGGTGGAGGGTTTCACATTAAGGGCCGCATGCATTAACATCCCAGCCGGGGAGGGGATCGCAGCTTTAGAAGAAAGCTTCATATTTTGAAGTTCCACATATCCGGATTTTACGCTACATATATGTGAGTATTACCACAATCCTTCACTGTGTACGTACTGACACGAGCTAGAAGCTGCACAAGCCGCATTTTCCTGATTTTTGTATGAACCCTGATGATTCCCAGCATCCAACGTCTTTTCTTCAAAGCTATCGAAAACCTTGTAATGTTGTATTGGTTATCTACCTTAGCTTTTTTCAAAATTTTGATGTTCTAATAACCCAACTGTTCTTATCAGCAACACACTTAGGGTCGCATGCATTAACATCCCCGCCAGGGGGGAGATCGCAGCTTAAGGTTGCGTTCATACTGGACCGGAAGTTCGGCAACAGTTCCAGCACCGCGCTCAGTTCGAGCGTTGTCCTGGAACTGTTCCCGAACTTCCGGTTCAGTATGAATGCAGCCTAAGAAGAAAGCTTCATATCCTGAAGCTCCAGATATCTTATTTCACGCTATCTACCTACCCGTAAGTACTCCCACCATCGTTCACTGTAAACATCTTGAATGGGAGCAAGAAGCTGTACAAGCCGCATTTTCCAACTTTTTGTTTGGTCCCCTTTCTGCCGACCGTCTTTTCTTTAGAGTCATTTTTCTTTTTTCCAAATCAATAAAAACATTCCAAAGTTGTGCTGTTTATCTAACCCAACAGTGCTAATCATGTTTCTGGTGAGACAAGTGGTGTTTTGATGTCATGAAATTCGAGATGAACCACAAGTTCAAAGATGGGTTTATCGAAAATCGTTTGGCGGTTCAGTGGATTTACGCTGTTGATGGACACCAGATAAACGCACCGTTTATGGTCTCAGCATTACCTCAAACTTGGGTAATCAAACCCTCGTCTGGGGTTGAAAACAATAAACACGATCACATCAATAAACTGTGAACACATCATGAAAACTGAGCTTTTGATTTCCTTGACTACTTTGGCTAAGTTTTTTCCTGCCTTTCTGGCCGACTTTGAAAACGTGCCGATAAGTTTGAAACTTGGTCCAAAACCGATGTTTAAAAGAGCTTTCTCAAAAGGCGTTTGATGTAAGGACAACACTTCTTGCATAAATGTAAAACGAAATGGAAAACGTGGAACAATTCCTCCCACCATGTAGGCCCAGAAGTCAAATGGCGCATGTTGAGCTTGAGCTTAGCGGCGCATCTTCTCGATGTTGTCGTTGCGCCTTGACGTCGTGCGTTTCTGTAATGGGAAACTGTAAAATCTTGCAGCTCGCGCTGTGAAGCCACGATAAATCGATATTCCAAGAATGCATTTGTTCTTATCAGCAACACGCTTACAAAAAAAATGGTCAGAATTCGAAGTGGCCAATCCAAGCAAGCTGCATAACATTAGATGCAGCATAAAACGCTGACTCGAAATCTGTTTTCCTTATCTGCAGAGCACGTTTGTGGATAAAGTTATAAGCCGTTGAAGTCCATCGTTTTGCTAGGAAATCGTGCGTGTAAAAGGCAAACTTGGCTGTATAGAGCCAGAGTTCAGCTTAATCTTGAGTCAAAACGCTCTTCTAGGTTACTTCAAGTGGCCCATACCCAAAGGTGAGCCAGACGGGCAATAATGCTTGAATTCGCGTTTTACGCACAATTTTTCGCTATAAAACTGCTCATAACTTCTCCTGCAAAGGCGCATTGCAGATAGGGAAGACAGATTTCGAGTCAGCGTTTTATGCTGCATCGAACGGTATGCAGCTTGTTCGAATTGGCCACTTCGTCTTCTGACCATTCCATTGTTAGCACTGTTGGGTTAGATAATCAGTACAACTTTGGAAGGTTCTCGGTAACTTTGAAGGAAGGGAAATTATTTTGAAGAAAAGACGGTCGGCAGCCGGGGATCATCAGCTCAGACAATCGCCGGGGCAGGCGGCCATCCGATATGTTCAAGCGGGCACCGGAAGAATAGTTCGCTAAATTGTCGTAGCCCGCCCCTTAATATCCGGGTATTCGCGCGCGGTTTCACGCGGAAACTGTTCAGAACAATAGCTGCTACTTTGCCAAATTTTTGAAAAACGCTCGCTTGGTAATTAGTCTCCGCTGATTCCTTACCGTCGCCCGCTCACAGCGTTTTCAATGTGAAAACTCCGTTTTATCGTGAAAATTTGAATGACTATGGGCAGCGCGACTGATTCGCGCTCGCTACTTTTTTTGTAGTTTGGCGATGATTGTGGCTGCAAAAACAGCTCCTATTTCGGTGTAATGGCATCTGCCCGCCAACAATACATATTACATGAGAAAATTTATTGGTGCTATCAAATAAAACCAGAAATTCCTGTAGATAAACCAGACAACCGAACAAGACAATTTGCTCTTTTTATTAATAGTACGTTTGAAGCTTTTGCCAAAATCTCAAGACAGTACACAGGAAATGCGGACCATAGTCGAGTAACTTTGATAGGAAACTGTCTTCTGAGGTGCTGCGATACCGATCTGTTGATGAGGCTCGAACTAGAAAAAAAATGAATATTTTTTAGCATTCCATCAACTTCGTAGTCAACCTGCAAATTGATCCGATGTCAATTTCTTCATGCCGCGTTTAAACTAAGTTATCGACGCTACACTTGTGAGCCGGCACGATGCCATGTATAGTTGACTGGCGTATGCCTAAG